GTGCAGCAGTTGTTTAGCTCTCTTCCTGTGTGTGTTTTGTGTAACAGTTGTTTAGCTCTCTTCCTGTGTGTGTTTTGTAACAGTTGTTTAGCTCTCTTCCTGTGTGTGTTTTGTGTAACAGTTGTGTATCTCTCTTCCTGTGTGTGTTTTGTGTAACAGTTGTTTAGCTCTCTTCCTGTGTGTGTTTTGTGTAACAGTTGTTTAGCCCTCCTCCTGTGTGTGTTTTGTGTAACAGTTGTGTATCTCTCTTCCTGTGTGTGTCTTTGCAGCAGTTGTTTAGCTCTCTTCCTGTGTGTGTTTTGTGTAGCAGTTGTGTATCTCTCTTCCTGTGTGTGTTTTGTGTAACAGTTGTTTAGCCCTCTTCCTGTGTGTGTCTGTGCAGCAGTTGTTTAGCCCTCCTCCTGTGTGTGTTTTGTGTAACAGTTGTGTATCTCTCTTCCTGTGTGTGTCTTTGCAGCAGTTGTTTAGCTCTCTTCCTGTGTGTGTTTTGTGTAGCAGCTGTTTACCTCTCTTCCTGTGTGTGTTTTGTGTAACAGTTGTGTATCTCTCTTCCTGTGTGTGTCTGTGCAGCAGTTGTTTACCTCTCTTCCTGTGTGTGTCTTGTGCAGCAGTTGTGTATCTCTCTTCCTGTGTGTGTTTTGTGTAACAGTTGTGTATCTCTCTTCCTGTGTGTGTTTTGTGTAACAGTTGTGTATCTCTCTTCCTGTGTGTGTTTTGTGTAGCAGTTGTTTACCTCTCTTCCTGTGTGTGTTTTGTGTAACAGTTGTGTATCTCTCTTCCTGTGTGTGTCTGTGCAGCAGTTGTTTACCTCTCTTCCTGTGTGTGTTTTGTGTAACAGTTGTGTATCTCTCTTCCTGTGTGTGTTTTGTGTAGCAGTTGTTTACCTCTCTTCCTGTGTGTGTTTTGTGTAACAGTTGTTTACATCTCTTCCTGTGTGTGTTTTGTGTAGCAGTTGTTTACCTCTCTTCCTGTGTGTGTTTTGTGTAACAGTTGTTTACATCTCTTCCTGTGTG